CAACAGACAACAAAACCAAGAACTCCTCAAACACCCAAGGTTTAGTGCCTCCAATGCCGTCCCGCTGCTTAACGTCTTTCAAGACCTACCAAATATTTCTCAGCTCCCAAGCAAAATATGCTCGTATCTTCTCCAGGCCTGACAGCTAGCTCATCCGTTTCCCCTGCACCTGGTAGCCTCTGCTAGCCCTGTTTTGCCAAAGCAGATTAGGAATACAAGTCCGGCCGTACGGGGAAAGCTGTTAAGTAGGCAATTTCGAGATGTGTCTCCACCTGCACCAGGAGTCGACGCAGACCTAGCCAGGGTGGCCACTACCCACTCAACAAATCCTACAACAGCAGTCACTTTCTGGCAAGCTGGAGAACCGAAACCACAACATGGAAACTCTGGACGGACTCCCCCAAGATAACGAGCTAGGACTTTAACTTACTCTCGTAAAGGGAGCGGGGCAAGGCTTTCAGCGCGGCAAGAAGATACTTTCGAAACTGTCACTACACTCCTCAAACTAGAGTCTCCCGCCCAAAAAAAGTGTTGCACACAGAAAAGCCAGAGCTCCCGTCCCCAAGAAACACGCGCCGGGAACCCTCTGGTCCGTCAGGCTGGGGACCAGGGAGAAGGGAGCCGGAAACCTCGTCTGCTCCCAGCAGCCCCAGAGCGGGAAAGGCCCGCCTCTCTCCGGAGACGAACCAGGCCTCGGTCCCGCGGCCCAGCGAGAGAAACCCAGGCCTCCCCGGCGCCCCGAGCCCCAGCCCAACCCGGGCCGCCGTCCCCATTATCCCGCCACCACCCCCGCCCGCGCAGGCGCAGTGGGAGCCGGGCCTACCCGCGCCCCCGAAGCGCCGCCGCCATGGCGGAGCAGAGGAGGCCGGCGGCGGCGGCTTAGCGCCCGCAGAGCGCCGCGCTCGCGTCCCCGCGGCCTCCCAGCCACCGCCGCGGCCCTGTCAGCCCCCCGGCCGGCCCCTCCGCCGCCCTCCTCACCCGTTCTTCAGATCCACCTCCAGGATCTTCCCGTAGCCCTTAAAGAAGCGCTCCACATCGCGCTCCCGGGCCTGGTAGCTCAGGCGGCCGATGTACACCCGCGGCATCCCGGCGGCGGCGGCGGCTGGCCCCGGCCCCCCTCAGGCGGCGGCCGGCGAAGGAAAAGCGCGGCGGCGGCGGCGGCGGCGGCGGCGGCGGTAACGGGCGGGCGGCGGGACGGACGCAGCCGAAGCCCGGCGACGTACGCGAGCACGCAGCTCGAGAGCGCGCGCCCCCGCGGCCCGCGCCCTCCCCCTCCCCCCGGGCGGAGGGGAACGGGAGGGAGCGCGCGCCCGCTTCCCGCCCGGCCAGGGCTGGGGGGGGGGGGGGGGGGAGGGCCTTTCTGGAGGCGCGCCGGCGCGGGGCGGGGCCTGGCCGGGTGAGCGACAGCTGAAGCACGTCTTCTCGCGAGCTCGGCGTGGCGTCGGCACTTCCCCCGGAAGTGCTTGCGCGGGTGCGCGCGGAGCGGGTGTTCCAGTCTTTGTCCTTTTTCTCCGGCACTGTTTCTGCTTCGGAGCGGTTTGCAGCTCGACGTTCCGAGGGGGAGTTTGCGGATCCGTGACCTTGAGCCCATTTCCTTTTCTCTCGGGCCTCTGAGCCTCCTTTATCTTCCTTGTAGAGTTATCTTTGACAATTATGATACTAGGTACGTAAAACAGTGTTCAAATAAAAAAAATTCAGTCCTATTTTGCGGTGCTGTGGATCGAACTCAGGGCCCACGGATGTTAGCAAGTGCTCTACCTCTGAGTTACATCTCAGGTTTTTTTTTTTTTTTGGACACAAGCTCTATTCTCTGGCTGTCCTAGATAGAATTCACTATGTAGACCAGGCATACATTCTGGTCTCGAACTCACAGAAATTTGCCTGCTTCTACTTCCCGGAGTGTTGAAGTTAAAGGTGTGCACTACTACGTCCGGGCAGTTTAATACCTTGCAGTTAGATTAGGCATGACAGAAAAATTTCCCAGCCTTTAAGATTGTAATATATAGGTGTCCAGTGTACTGCCAGAATAATCCAATGGTATGGAAGCGCTTGTTCTGGGGCATGTGGGAGCTCAGTTTTGATTGGCTCCCATTCAGCCTTACCCAGTCACTGAGGGTTTTGTTTCTATACTGCGTTCTCAATTCAACTCATGTGCAGTGTAAAGTTTTCCCTTTTTCTCTTCTGCTTTCTCAGCTTTCCTTCCCAGAGGCAGGTTCTTAAACATTCTTTTAGAAGTTAACTTACTATACAGTTCTTGGCTTTTCTTTTTAGACAAGAACTTTCTATATCCAATGGCCTTGAATTCCAGAAAACTCCTGTTATAGCCTTCTAAGAACTGATGTCAGTTGTCGCCACACCTAATTTCTGGCAATTTTGAATATAATTCCAGAAGCGTATGAAAGGCACTCAGGACCGTTTTGTCTCATAACACACCATTTTATACACAGTAACTTACATAGTCACCACGGGGTCCAACCTTTGGATTTTAGAGCTGCCACAATCAGTGACCATGTATATTCATGTAGGATCTGTTCCTGGAAATAGGACATATCTCTGGCAGAACACTTGTCTAGCCTAAGTCTGCTCCTCAGCCCACCCTCCCCCACCCCCCACCCCGCTCCCCCAAATTTGGAAGTAGGAAAATTAGGTTAAAGGGCAGGAGCATTTTATTTTGGGACAGTCTCACTTAGTATCTCAAGCTGGCCTTGAACTCACAGCAGTCCTCCTGCCTCAGCTTCTTGAGTGCTGAGAAGGCAGGCATGCGTCACCATGCCTGACTTAGCATGTGTAACTTGGTAGCTGTTGTGTCTCAAATACTCAACATGTTACCAAATTCATCGAAAGTGGTATCCTCCAGGCCATCTGATTTACAATCATCTTTTGAGGGAGTGAGCCTTTCTTCATGCCCCTCATGCCCTCTTCTAGCCTCTGAGCGTGTCTGCACACACTTGGCATACACACCTTGACACGTTTTGTGTTTTATCCTTTGCCCATTTTACTTGATTGATAGCTCACTATAGACTAGGAAAGTCAGCAGTTTGCTAAATGAATTGCAAATATTTCACCAGTGTTTTTAGCATTGCCATGTTTTTTTGTTTTGTGTGAACGCATGCACAGAGGTCAGAGGACTTTAAGGAAATGCTTCTCTTCTACCTTTCATGGTGTGATTGAACTCAGGTCCTCAGATCTGTGTGACACTTTAAAAAAAAACCTGTTGAACCTTCTTACTGGCCCTATTGTGTTTTGTCATATAAAAAAATAAATTTATGGGATTGCCCCACCCCCAGTTGTATGTTATAGTTCAAAGGCTTTCTCACTCTGAGTTCTTAATTTTCTTTTGATGTTGTCTGTAGGTAGGGCCACACATAGTTCAGGCTGGCCTAGAACTTGCTATGTAGCTGAGACTGGTCTTAAACTGATCCTCCTGCTTCTCCCAAATGCTGGAGGTACAGGTCTGAGCCACCATACTTGGTTTGAGGTTTTAAGATTTTAAAAAATTGCCGGGTGGTGGTGGTGCACGCCTTTAATCCCAGCCCTTGGGAGGCAGAGGCAGGCGGATCTCTGTGAGTTCGAGGCCAGCCTGGTCTCCAAAGCGAGTCCCAGGAAAGGCGCAAAGCTACACAGAGAAACCCTGTCTCGAAAAAACCAAAAAAAAAAAGATTTAAAATTTTTATTTGTGCATCTTTGTGTGTGTGCATATGAGTACAGAGGCTAGGTGTCACGTCTCCTGGAGCTGGAATTGCAGGTGGTTTGAGCCACCTGACTGATATGGGCGCTTGGAAACACAATTCTGGTCTTCAAGAACAGTATATGCTCTTAAGTGCTGAGGCAGCTCACCCTCTTTATACTTGTTAGCTTTGTACAGCATCAGTTTGTCATTTGGGAAGTAGCTCAGAGGTCGAGTACCTACCTACTACATTCAGCACACCCCCGCCTCCCCGTCCTCAGCACCATTTGCAGCTGCTGTCAGGAAGCATTGTGGGTATCGCTAAACCCTTCCAGACAAAAGGACAATGATGACTGGACACAAGTTTGTGCAAGCACCTTCCCTGAGGACACAGGCACTCATCAGTATTGTGGCAGAGGCCATGGAGCTGTGGATGCTCCCAGAAGAGGACGTGGAGACAGAGCCAGGCCCCATTAAGGGTGTGCTCCAGCTTTGTCTTAGGAGGTCATGGCTATTTGGGAACCTAGAACTTACAAAGGGTGTTTACTTAGTGGGCCAGAAGGGTGGCCCAAGTTCCACAGCTGTGTGCTGCCTTTGTAGAGAAGGGATAAGGCAGAGAAAGTTACATTCTTTTCGTCTGTTTTCCCTACTAGCCTCTGAAGTGTTGGTCTTCAAAATTTGGCCGTGGAGTGGGTTTACTTTCTGTCCTTGCACTGCCAGAGGATCTTTCCAAAGCTTGTGCCTCTGCTGAACTGTCTTTTGTCCCTTCAAGTCTCTTGACTAAGAATCTTGACCTGCTACACCACCATCCTTTGCTGCAGCTTGGCTTAGTTACGGGTAAATCACTGGGTGTTATCACTTAAGATCAGGCTCAGTTAAATGCCAACACATGGGGCTGAAATAAGCTGAGATTCTGAGGTGGCAGCTGGGGCTTGGGGTGTGTGTGGGTCCTAGGCGCCTTTGACTTTGTGTCTTTCTTACCAAGGTCAAACATGGCTGTGTACACTCCAGGAATCATGTTTGAAATCCAGTGGGAAAGTAGGAGAGAAAGAGAATGCATAACAAGGTTCTAAGACACTGGCACCTACACCTGTCACATCACACTGGTCAACCTTGTTAGTTGCAAGGGAGACAGGGAAGGACATTGACTATGTGCACCCCTACAGGTTGCAGGTTTTAACAAAACTGATGTTTGGGGAAATCGCGGTTCAGCTATACGTGCCCGGACTCCAACTGTTTATGTTGTATAATATTTTGTTTGTGTTCGAACAAAAAAGCTTGCTTGAAGATCAGAGGTCGAAGCTAGCCACTAGTTAACCATAGAGGCCAGGCAGTAGTGGCACACACCTTTAATCCCAGTACTTGGATGGAGGAAGCAGGAAGATCCAGAGTTTAAGGCCACTCTGGGCTATAGTCTAAACTGTAGTCTGAACCAGTCTAAAAGAGAAACAGCTGGTCGTTGGTGCACACCTTTAATCCCAGCACTAGGGAGATGGAGACAGGAATATAAGGCGGATGGAGACAGGATCTCGGCCCCCATTTGGTCTGAGAATTCATAGAGGTAAGAAGTTTCTAGTGGCTGCTGCTCTGCTTCTCTGATCTTTCAGGTTTCACCCTGATATCTGACTCTGGGTTTTTATTGTTAAGACCGATTAGGATCACTCTTCATGCACATCTGGGCTGTCCTGCAGTTTGCCTTCCCTTCCTGAGTAGATTACTGAAGACCAAGCCTCACACCTCTACAGGCACAGTGCAGCTCCCTTCACTGTTCTTCCTGGGGTGATTCCAATGCTTGTGCAGGAACCCTCCTGTGCACCTGCCATCCGGAATTGGAAACAGGGCCTTCCTTAGTGTGGCTGCAGGCTCTAACCCCCAACTTTGTGACTCCCACAAAGACTCATATCCTACCTTTTATTCCTGCTGCCTCTGGGCTGCCTTCCTCTACTCTTAGGCTTTCTCACTTGTCCACATGGACCCTTGGTACAAAACACCTATCCCAGCAACCCAGAGGACAGACAGGAACAGGGGACGTTTATCCTGAGTCCAGGTGCACAAGGTAGCAGATTTTCTCCAGGAGGTATCTGTTGAGTTGCCCAGCCTTGGGCTGAAGCAGTTCTTTCCTCTAGAGAGCACCGATGCTCCCAGAGGCAAGCTGAGTAAGCTGGAAGCCTGTGTACACACCACCATGCAGTCACACCTCCCAGACAGTGCTATGATATCTCTCTCTCTCTCTCTCTCTCTCTCTCTCTCTCTCTCTCTCACACACACACACACACACACACACACACCCAGCACACTCACACACTCACCTCTGCTCAAGTTGCAGCCCCTTAGGCAGTAGCTTCACGCTTCTGGTTACAATTTCCCAAGGCCCAAGACCTCACATTCAAGCTCTAACTAGCTGCTGGCTTTGCTTGGTCCACGGTTTCCTACTTGGACTTCAGAATTCTTCAGACAACACTGCTCCAGGAAGCCTCCCTTGACTGAGCTGGACCTCTGTCCTCTCCCAGCTTTGCCCTTTATATTGCAATGGCCGCACACCAGGCCATACTAAACCATCTTCATTGCTAGCTTTGGACATTGAATAAATGCTCCCTGAGTGAGGCTCTGAGGTGAAGGTACAGGGGGTCAGCTGACAAAGGAGACAACCCCAAGTTGTGCTTTGCTCTGGGCAAAATGATCGTGAAGCAAACACCAGAAAGTCAGACTCTTCTTGGATGAAACCAACTTAATTTTCAGCCGGTCTGTCACCAAGCACCTCGAGCAAGCCTTACCCAGACCCCAGATGTCTACAGCCCTGCATGCCTTCTGCAGAGCGCCAGGAGTCTGCTTGGGGTCTTAATGCAGGCGTTCTCAATAGCAGCACTAGGAACCTTTTGGGCAGGAGGAATCTTTGTGGGGGGGTGGTCCTGTGTGATGTATCTGTTCTTTTGACAGTTATGGGGATGGAACCAAGGCCTGATGCATGCTAGATAAGCACTCTATCACTAAGCTTTACTCTCAGCCCCCTTTGTAAGAAAAAAAATTGAGACACAGTCTTGTTATATAGCCCAAGCTAGCTTCCAACTTGTGGCAATCCACCTGACTCAAGCCTGCTGGTTGCTGGGATTACAGGTGTGTATTACCTTACCTGGCTGTAAAATATTTAACAGTACTGATCTCTGCACAGTTGAGGCAAATAACAACTCCCTCACCAAGCTGTGGTAGCCAAGTGTCCCTCTGGGGTTAAAAATGGCCCCTGGCTGAGAACCACAGGTGTAATGTTTATTCCCTCAGTTACAAAGGAGGTTCCCTGAAGGTGGCCCGGACACCTGAGATCCTGTGTCCTCAGTCTCTTAAGCTTTAATCATCTCAGCCTGGCACTCACCTTGGCAGCAGATCCCCTTGCCCTGGACAGAGCCACACACACACACATACACACACACACACACACACACACACACACACACACACACACACACACACACACGGGAGAAGTTAACCACCTTTCCCCTTCCGCCAGACTCTAGGGCTCACACTGCTGAGGGCAGATAGTGACTTCTGCACTGGGCAGCAGTTGCTCAGCTTCTGCTTTCAGGGTGCTCAGGCAGGCAATGACTATGACAACAGGCGGTGAGGCGGGGCAGGGGCTTCTCAGTGTGGGAGGCAGCAGGTGCACAGCATTCCTCCACAGGGATAACCTCTACTCATCATCCTTTCTTCAGAAAGTTCGGCCTTTATTAGGGCTCCAGGGCTGGCTCCTCACCCTCCTCATGGGAAGAGGCAGTGAGCAGAAGGCCGTCTGGGGAAGACTGGGGTCCTCATGGAGGGCCGGCAGCCAGCCAGTCTTACTGGTCTGCTCTCCTGCTTTCCCCCTGGTCCTCTGGGATAATCACATGGTGAGAATCTGCTTGGAAGACACAAAGGGCTTCATGGAGGCTTCCAAGGCCTTCTGGTAGTCCTGCAGTGGAACCTCAGAACAGGTCGGGGACGAGAGCTGGCCTTGGTGGATGAGGTTACAGAGAGTGAGAATCAGCTCCTTGAACTCATCTGCAGGAGGTGGAGAAAAGTCAGACAAGACACAACAGGTGGGTTTCAGTGAGATGGCCCTGAGCCAAAGAAGCCTCAGAGCCCTGGCTTGTCCCCACCACCGTCTGACGTTTGAGGGCCAACATGAGACAGGGAAACAGGAAGAGAGGGCCTAGGAACTGTAGGGTGGGCCTTGACTACCCTTCAGAGACGGCTAAGGTGGCTCAGCTCCACAGGACAGGACTGGTAAAGCTGTCCCTGAATGGTGGACGGGGCAGCAGGACTAAACTGGGGAAGCCAGAGAAGGCCAGAAAGGCAGTGTACCAGGCACACTGCTTGATGGCAACAGACCAGATGAGGAACAGCTCCCCTTGACAGCCCTGGGCCTCCACTAGACCCCTCAGCTGAGGCAACTGCTACCCCTTCCTGCGCCTGCCTCCTACTGAGGGCCAAATACAGTGCGGGAAGCAAAATGAAAGCTTTGGCTGAGAAGTGCTTTTCATAGACAGAAATAAACTCAATCTTCAAATCTAATCCTACTTCCTGATTAAAACACTACTCTGGTGGTCGTCGTGTCTCACGCTTTTAATCCCAGCTCTTGGGAGGCAGAGGCAGGTGGAGCTCTGAGTTCCAGGCTAGCCTGGTCTACATAGTGAGTTCCAGGATAGCCTGGTCTACATAGTGAGTTCCAGGATAGCTAGAGCTACATAGTCAGACCTCGTCTTAAAAAAACAAAACAAGGGCTGGAGAGATGGCTCAGAGGTTAAGAGCACTGGCTGCTCTTCCAAAGGTCCTGAGTTCAATTCCCAGCAACCACATGGTGGCTCACAACCATCTGTAATGAGATCTGGCGCCCTCTTCTGGCCTGCAGGGATACATGCAGACAGAACACTGTATACATAATAAATAAATCTTTAAAAAAAAAAACAAAACCAAACCAAAACAAAACAAACAAAAAACACTGTGTTGGCTTCCCAATTATCTTCAAGGCAGGAGAGTGAACTTTAAAAAAAGCTTAAGCCTTGTGGTGGCGCACGCCGGTAGGATTTGCTGAAGGAGGCGGAGGCAGGAGGATCACGAGTTTGGGGCCAGCCTGGGCTACACATTTAAAAAAAAAAAAGCTTAAGCCTTTCCTCATCTGGTCAAAACCTGCCCTCCAACTTCTCAGTCCAAGACAAGACCTAATTAATGCTCCAGGTGTCAGAACCTGCCCTGTGTGGGGTGTTCTCCCTCTTCTTAAATTTTACATTGGGAGCCGGGTGGTGGTGGTGGTGGTGGTGGTGCAGGCCTTTAATCCCAGTGCTCGGGAGACAGAGGCAGGAGGATCTCTGTGAGTTTGAGGTCTATAGAGTGAGTTCCTGGACAGCCAAGGCTACACAGAGAAGCCCTGTCTCCAAAAACAACAAACAAAAGGGTTGGCATTGGCTGTAGTGTTATGTACTTCTAAAGTGTGTGTGTAGGTAAGACACACTATACACTGAGGTGTCTCCCTCAATAATGTTCCTCATTTACAGACAAGGTCTCACTGTGTAGTCCTGACTGGTCTGGAACTCTATGTAGACCATGGAGATCTGCCCACCTCTGCCTCTCAAGTTCTGGGATTAAAGTTGTGCACTATCATTCTCAGGACACCTTTAGTTTTGGAGACAGTCTCTGACTGAACCTTAAGCTCTTTGATTTAGCTAGGCTGTCTGGCCATTGAGCTCCAGGGATCCACCTATCTCCACCTCTTTCATCTCTCCCTGTAATCCTGGGGTACAGGCCTTTGACACCGATGCTGGGAATCTGAACTCAGGTTCTAAACTTGCTTGGCAAGCACTTTACCAACTAAGTTAGCTCCCAGCCCTTCCATTCACTCGTGATGAGCTTTTGCGCATACCAGTTTTCTACCCAAAACACCTATGCATGCCACCACTCCCCCCCTTGGGTCAACTCCATGTCCTTCTTCATTCTCAGCCTTGGCTGAGAATCTGGGGAGCTAGGCCCTAGCAGTCAGAGGGCCCATCTGCTCACTCTGGCAGCCCCATTCCTGAGATGGGATAGCTTAGGGTAACTGACTTAGTGGCTATGAACCTCAGTTTTCTCCTCTGTCAAATGGCTCAAAAGAGTTTACATCCACAATGCTTAAACAAAGGCAGAGATTCATTGACTTACCCACAGTTCCCCAGTTAGGCCAGGACGACCTAGATCTGGTGATGCTGGAAGTACCACGTGAATGGTTTATTTGATTGATTGATTTTGTTTTTCCTTCTTTTTTTGAAATGGCATCTATCTGTATAGCCAAGGATGGCCCTGACCTCACAACCCTCCCACCTAAGTCCCGAGAACTGGGATTACATAAGTATTCCATTACACCAAGCCACCTCTCTTGGCAGTCTTCCCCAGTACCCCAATCAGCTCCTCAGAACAAAGGCTGGTCCATCTTACTGGACTCTGTGGCCAATCTAGAAGTGATTTGCTGACTGTGACTGTGGTAAACACTATCCTTATTCCTGTTGTGAGGCTGGAGACTCAGTCACTCTGCAGGGTTTAGAGTAGCTGGTCACTTTGTAGCCATACTAGGCTCTACTGTCCTGTGACCCTTGGTATCAGGCCATCAGCCACTCACCTGGACTGTGGTTCTTCTTCCACTGGGACAACCAGAAGCCCCGAAGTTTGAGGTCCTTAAAAATGAGCAGGCTCTGTGGACACAGGAGGATTTGCTGGGGCACCGAGTGCTAGAACTTTTTTTTTCTTTTAAAAGCTTTTTGTTGAGCCAGGCGGTGGTGGCGCACGCCTTTAATCCCAGCACTCGGGAGGCAGAGGCAGGAGGATCTCTGTGAGTTCGAGGCCAGCCTGGGCTACAAAGTGAGTTCCAGGACAAGCTCCAAAATACCTGTCTCGAAAAAACCAAAAAAAAAAAAAAAGCTTTTTGTTTTTCTTAGTTTTTTTTTTTTTTTTGGTTTTTCAAGACAGGGTTTCTCTGTGTAGCTTTGCGCCTCTCCTGGAACTCACTCTGTAGCCCAGGCTGGCCTCGAACTCAGAGATCCGCCTGGCTCTGCCTCCCGAGTGCTGGGATTAAAGGCGTGCGCCGCCGCCGCCCAGCCCGAGTGCTAGAATTTAAAGCATTGCTTCAGGTATAGATCCCTTGAGTTTAGACAGCTGCAGTGCAAGGAGAGAGGCATCCCAGCCCTGGTCTGCAGGTATCCCCAGCTTACCACTGAGGCCGTTACAGGCTGCTTGGCCATTCCCCCATAGGTCACCATGGTTCCTCCAGGCCTGCAGAGTCCAGAGAGAAGAGTGGGTGTAGGCAGAGACAGAACCTACCATAAAGGAACCTGCAAGGCTTTTATAGGAAACAACTCTGGTCTCAGAATCCCTGGGGAGGTTAAAAAAAAAATACGGCTTCCCAGTTTAAATTTCTGACTTAAAGAATTAGGAGGCAGGGACTTATATTAAAAATAACACACATGTTGGGCATGGTGGCGTAGGCCTTTAATCCCAGCCCTCAAGAGGCAGAAGCAGACTAATCTGTGAATTTGAGACAAGCCTGGTCCACATAGCAAGTTCCAGGCCTCCCAGGGTCCGGTGAGACTGTCTTCAACAAAGCAAGCAAACATAACTAGGTACAGAGGTACAAGCCAAAAGTCTCAGCAGTTGGGAGGCAGAGGCAGGAGGATTAAGTTAACTTCAAGGCCAGCTTTAGCTACATAGACACACCCTGTCTCAAAACCAAATACAGGGACACACATTCTTATGCTCCCGACAATCAAGATGAGGATTCAGGGCTGGGAAACACTTCTTCACCCGACCCAGGGAGGCTGTGGTTCTGTGCTGCCGCTGAATCATCTAAACAGAAGATGTCAAGGCCAGGTTCAGTCTGGGCTCCACTTGCTACAGAAGTGTGATCTTGAGTGTTGTAATGAAGAGGGTTCAGGCCTTGTCTCTTCATCTGTAAATGCTCACTCTAAAGATCTGTGCCATGGAGCTCTCCAGCGAAGGAGTAACGTGGACAGTGAAGGGGACAATGATGATGAGTGCCCCTCTGGAAGAGGCTTTGCTGGAACCTGCAGTCTGACAGCCATCTCAACAGTTAAACAGGCATGACACAAATGCAGTCTTTTGTTTTTGAGGCAGGGTCATGCAGCCCAAGCTGGTATCTAACTTGTAATCCTCCTGCCTCAGCTGAGATTCCAGGCAGGTGCCAGTACGCCCAGCTCTAATGGAATTTCTTACAATGAGTAGGTGAGGGATCATACGCTAGACTGAACCTCTGCCGCCTTCCCTGCTCCTTGAATATTTTACGAGCTGGTTGACCAGATGACCCAAGGCACATTTTGGAGCAACGGAGGAAAACTGGCAAGGACATAATGGAAGTAAGTGCTGTATCCACCTACCCACCTGTCAGTCACAGTGCTGGGGTGGTGCCTCAGTCTTCACAGGTTAAGCACATGCTCTAAGCCATCCTCAGGCTCCTAACTTGTTCTCTCTGTGCCGCTGTCTCCCTCTGTGTATGTGTAAATGTGTTTGACTATGTCTATGTAGCCTATGGTTGCCTCAAACTTGGCCTTCAACTCATGGCAGTTCTTTTCCTTAGCCTCCCAAGTGCTCCAGGGGTACCCCACAAGTGCTCCAGGGGTACCCCACAAGTGCTCCAGGGGTACCCCACAAGCCTGGCTTAACTTGGCCTTAAAGTTCTCCTCAAATGGTTCTCCTTCAAGAAAGACGCTTCGAGGACAGTGGTTCTCAAGTGGGTCATGACCCATTTGGGGGTGGAATGACTCACAGAGGTCACCATCAGAAAACAGACAGTTACATTATGATTCATAATTAGCAAAATTACAGTTATGAAGTAGCAATGAGATAACTTTATGGTTAGGGTCACCACAACATGAGGAACTGTACTAAAGGGTCCCAGCATTAGGAAGGTTGAGCAGCACTGGTCTAGGGGAAGCAAGCCCTCCCCTGTACTAAGTACAGCTCTAAGCATGTTATCTGCACCGTCTCCACGAATTATCAGAGTAACATCAGGGGACACCGGTGTCTGTTCTGTAGGAGAGAGCTGAAGCCCATCTTTCTACATCACCTCAGTGTCTCACACTAGCTGCAGAGGCAGGCCCTATCTCTTGCTCCTGTTTAGAGATGTGGAGACTGAGGCTTGGTCTCTTTATGTTTTGCCTAACTTTTCACAGGTTCACAACTAGTAAGTAGCAGAACTGGAGTTTGAATGCGGTCCTTCTAACGTCAGTGTCCATACTTGTGACCACTGCTTCCTTTGACAATCACATGGAAGATGCAGTCAGCCTCCCAAGACTGCTCACGGGCTGAGCAGAGGTGTCCTGTAGTTATGAAAACTTGGGCTCAAGCCTTGCTGTCTTGCCAACTACACCTTGAATGAGGTGATCACCCTCTCTGGGCTTCATTTCTTAAAGTACAGAATGGAGATGGTGGCCAGGGACACAGCCCAGTGATGGAACACATGCTTAGCATGCCCGAGGTCCTGGTTCAATCCCGAGCACCAAAAGGAAAAGCCAAACGGGAATTTGGAATAGCAGCGCCTGCCTAGGGCTGCAGGACAGCACAAGTCACTGCAGGGGCTGACTTTCAGCCCAGCTGTGTGGCTCCCCTGTCCCAGGCTATGCCCTGTCACCTCCACAGCTGGTAGTTCACAGTGGAGGGCCCAGCTCCAGCTGGAAAATGTTTCCCAGGCGTCCTTCAGATGGAGACTAGACCACAGTGAATGGAGCTTCCCCCAGTGGGTGGGAGCTGACGGAGTGCCCACCTCTCTGTTCCCCTCAGTATTTTATATGCTTTCAACATGTTTTGTAATAGGTGTAATGCTTCCTTCACATTAATTCTAGTTTTAAAGACAATAAAGCTATTTCAAAGCCACTTAGTTTATAATGAGTGACTGTTTTTGAGACATGGTTTCTCTGTGTAACAGCCCTGGCTGTCCTGGAACTCGCTCTGTAGACCGGGCTGGCCTCAAACACAGACATTCACCTGCCTCTGCCTCCTGTATTGTGCTGCCTCCCGAGTGCTGGGACTAAAGGTGTGCACCACTGCCCGACAAGAAGACTGAGTGACTTTTTAAGAGGCTCCTAGGTGATGACTCATGGGTCCTTGGGGGTGGTGGTGGGGAAGCTGGCCAGGCTTCTCATCCACAGAGAACAAGGCTCAGGAGTGCAGGCCAGAGAGCAAAATGTCCTGCTGTGCTGCTACTCAGCATCCTGCTACTCTGGCCTTGGGTCACACTTGCCACCAGACAGCCCTCCCGATAGAGACCTGTTGTTGAGGGACTTACGCTAGATGTCGTAGCAGCTCTGTGGAACTCTTCCCACCAACACAATTGAGAGCCAGGCGGGGCAGGGGCAGGTCCTAGAAAGTAAGGAGCCTATAGTGAGGGCACGACCTGCTGCAAGTGGGGTCTGAAGCTGTTCCAAGCAGCAAATGCTGTGCCAGGGAGAGAGGGAAGGAAATGGGGTGTGGATGACTTTTGGACATGTTATCTGTCGGGAAGGGCTTTAGAAGCTTCATCCTGTTGCCTATCCTAGGACTCTGGGAGGTACTGACAAGGAGCATCTCTGTTCAGTGTCAAGGAACAGAGAAGTCTACCCGTGATGTACGACCTCCACTTCAGCAGTGTTCTCCAGGGCAAATGTTTTCAACAGCAGCTATTTGGTCCTTCCATGTAGCTTAGCGCAAAAGGACTCAGGCTGGGCCTGCTCGCTTGCTGGGTCTGCTGGGGTGGATACCCTGGAAAGGTATGGGCTTTGAGTTCAAAGCAATGGGGACCAGCCTTACCACTTCGTGATGATGTGGTTCTCATCATTTATGCAGAATCTACCTTTTCTGAAGATGGCCAAGTAAATGTGAGGCAGAGGCTCAGGAACTTTTTTCTCCATGCCTTCACCTAGCTCTGACTCACAGCTGCCATGGGGTTTATGGATCACCCCACACATGTTTAAAACCCCAGCTTTCCTAAAGTCTGTTTCTGCCTCCTTCCCAGTGTCTGGGCACTTACAGCGTGCTGTCCCCAGGCTGAGAGCAGGGCAGGCTTTGTCCTTTCCAGAAGAGAAGGTGGTTTTCAGAGCAGAGCAAGGAGCCCGCCCCAGACTTCCCAATTACAGGGGATGGCACGGGGCAGAGGGGCAGTGTTCTTTAGCTGGGGACCTTGTTTTTATTTTTAAAATTTTAAAGACATTTTCTTTTGTGCATGTGGATGTGAATGTTTTACCTGCATGCTTGTCTGTGTGCCATGTGTGTGCCTGGTGCTCGTGGAGATCAGAAGAGGGCAAGGGGCATCTGATCCCTTGGAACTAGAGTTATAGATGGTTGTGAGCTAGCATGTGGGTGCTGGACTCGAACCCAGATCGTCTATAAGGGCAACAGTGCTCTTAACTGCTTAAGCACCTCCCCAGCCCTTGGCCGAGTACCTTGAAGATGGTTTTTGTCTCGGGCATCCTTAGCTCCTCCTCTGTGAGGACATAGTCAGCTCCCAGATTCTTCAGTCTGTCAGTTAGCTTCTGGATATCAGGTCTGGAAACCAAACACAGTCGGGGGCCTTGGTCACACTGGATTACTTCCCTCCCTCAAGCTCCCGGGGCCCTTCTGCCACAGCCTCAAGAACACGTGTTTTTGTTTTGAGACCTGGGATTGAGGTTAAGCCAGACCTCAAGCAGGGCCAGACATGTAATTTACTCACGCTCCCCCAGCTCTTGCCTCGTTTCCCCACTGGCCATCCCTCCTTGCACAGAGCCAGGCTGGGAGAAAATCTGAAAACCCTGTCAGTGCACACATGCTAGAACGGCCTGTGCCCAGGCAGGAGCCGCTCTGCTTCCTAGTGCTAGCCAGACCCACTGTCTTCCCTCCTGTCCTCCAAGGCACTTCAGGGCATCGTGCAAACACACTAGTGCGGAGTGGCCCAGGACTCTGGCCCAGGCACACAGAATATCTTTAGCATGAGCGCTGCAGAGCCAGGGGCTGAAGTAAGTACCAGTAGTCAGAATGGACTCCACACGTGACTCGGCCACACTGGAGCACAGTGGAGCTTAAAGAGACCCGAGGGGACAAGGGAAAGAAGGTAGGTCTGTTACGGACTTGCTGTGTCTTCCTGAGCAAGCGGCTTTCTCGGAAACTTCAGCTCCCTCATCTGTGAAAGAGATCACAAGCCTGCCCCACCTCCTTCACGGCTCTGTTTAGTGCACAGATGCAAGTGGATGGGGACCATGGGCTAGAGCGTTCACAGAACAGGACACCTCAAGACCTTCCCAAATGGGAACTGTGGTTTTGAAAGTCAGGGCTATCCTAAGCCAACTCTTCAACACTCTTGACTGTTGGGTAAGGACCAGCTCTACCTCCTCCTGACGTCTGTCTCAGACTTTCACAAGGACTTCTCTGCCCTCGTGAATGCACATGCTTCTGCAGCCAGACACTCCGCTTACGCAAGTGCGCCATCTGGTGGAAATGTGGGGACTCACGGGGACGTGAGGTGGAAAGGCCTACTTTCCCCACATACCTGTCTCGGACCACATTGATGGTCTTTAGGCGAAGGGCTGAAGCGATCTGGATGACTGCTTGCCCCACTCCACTGTTGGACGCATTCTGGATGACAGAGTCCCCTGTGGAAGAGATCCAGGTCAAGCCCTGCAAACTGGAACAGGTTGAGGGCTCTCAGCCTGGGATCCTAGGGCAGATCTAGGACTGGGCAGTGGAGCCTTCTCAGACCTTGAACTATCACTCCCTGTTATCTCCACACTTCCCACATTCTACCACACCCAAAATGCTTCTCAAGACTTGGCCACTCTGTCCATGTTTCAGACCCTGCTGTGTGACTGACTTGATCATCTTCCCAGGGATTTTGTTTTGTTTTTTGGTGGTTGTTTTGTTTCTCTGTGAAGCCCTGGCTGTGCTGGAGCTCACTCTGTAGACCAGGCTGGCCTTGAACTCAGAGGCCCACCTGCCTCTGCTCCCGAGTGCTGGGATTAAGTGCTGGGATTAAAGGCGTGTACCACTACCGCCCGGCCTCTTCCTAATTTTTGTCCTCTGTTCTCTGCTTGTGCCATTTATTTTTAAGTTGCATTTCTTTGCATGTGCATGCACATGCGCATGTGTAGGTTGGAGAACAGCTTGCAGGTGCACAGGTGTTTTTCTACATGTTGGTTCAGGGGGCAAACTCAAGTTGTCAGTCTCAGTGGCAAGCATCTTTGCTGAGTCATCTCACTGGCCCATGCTGAGGTCATGTCTCTGGTTTGCAATGGTTTTCTGGTTCTTTTTAAGTTCAGCTCGACTGTGGCTTCCTTCATGAAGCCCTCCCGGGTTCCTTCCAGTATGCTCCTAAAGGACTTTTTGGTATCTCGTCAATGCTGGGGCTGTAACTGTGTTCTATATACTGCTGTACGTAGGTCCCTATCTATCAATCACCTGCAGTCCTGGGGGAGGCCTATACCTTATTCCCCTCTGTATTATTTAGTAAAGGTGCACTTGAAATGGATGAGCGCCATATTAGAGAAATGGGAAGCTCCAGGGCCCTACAGAATATTTGCTTTTGCTTTGTGTTGCTAGGGATGGAATTTTTGGCCTTGAGCATGCCGGGCAAGTACTCTACCACTGAGCTATACCCTCACTGTACAGAATGACTGTGCTCAAAGCCTAGGCTTAGTTTTGCAGTTCATCAGTGGGAGAGGCAGCGTGGTGCACTAGGGAAGTATGGGCTCTGTAACACAATGGAGTTGGGTGTGCATCCTGCTTCAAGGAATGAATGTAACTTTAATGACTAACTAAACGAGTCAGGCCATATCATGTCCTCTTCAAACTTCAGTTTGTCTTCCCTAGAAAACAGGAGGCCTGAGAGCGTCTATCAGAGCATCTGTGATTGAAGTCAAATGAGCAGGAAGATGCTCTGCCGACTGGGAGATGCTATCTGGTTTTGAGGATCAGCGAGAGTCAGTGCAGAATGGTATAGCTAGAGGCAGACGCCGGGGTCGAGGAGTAAGTACATCCTGAAGCAGCTGTGCAGGCTGCCGGCAGCACTGATTTGTTTCAGTCGGAGCTGAGGAGCACGGGAGCACAGAACAAAGGCAGCGAAAGCAGGTGCTGGGCGGCCAAGCTCTGCTCCCCATTATCTGCGGTCATTTATGCCTATGTTCTAGTGAACAGTGTGACATTTATTCTTACTTTGGGTCAGGTCACGAATTTGTTTGGCCTCATCAACCCTGAGGCAGCAAAATAGAGATGTGGGCTGCAGGCACTTATAGTGGGTGGCATCAGAATGCCTGGCTCTGTCCAGCACAGGGCTGCCCTAATCAGGGGTGACCTCGGCCACGGCATGAGCTGAGGCACCCAGTGTCGGCTTTACTAGGACTCTAAAGTCTCTCATCACACCTGGCTTTCTCCACTACAGACCCCGATCATATCTGACTGCCTTAGTCAGTGGCTATCTGATTTTAACAGCTCTTGGCCTCAGTTTCCTTCCTGGTATGAGAGGAGAAGGGTAGGTGATTTCCACAGCCCTGCTGGGCTCCCAGCTATGCAGGATGCAGAGACAGAGAGAGCCTTTACCCAGTGGGGAAGGACACGGAGGAGTGGTAGAGTAGTTGCTTGGCATGTTCCAGGCCCCAAATTCTAGTCCTAGGACTGGAAACAAAACCCCCAAAGCAACAAAACCCAACTGGCCCATCTTCTGTCTTTTGGGGGTTAATCCTGCAGTGTGTCTTACGAGGATCCACAGGGCACTGCGGGATCACGGCAGGAACTGGCCTGGACGGGCCTGCCTCTGTCCTGTCCAACTGTCCCATTTCCCTTAATCCTGCTTCTAGGGACAACTTCCCAGATCAACTGTCTGCCCCAACCCCTGCCTGGTTTCTGCTTTCAGAGGAACTCTGTGACAATTCTGGCTGTTTACTTGCTGAGTGACTTCATATAACAGCTCACCTCTCCGATCATCCTTCCCTCAGTGATAAAGGAAGACTAAACTTCACGCTATAGTGACCCACAAGTCTCTGGCACCCTTTACTCTCCATCTTATGGGTGAGCAGTGATGTGAGTGGTGAGCTCACACAGCTGGTGGAGGGGACGCCTGGGTTCGGACCCTGGTTGTCTGCCTGGGGTGGGGGGGGACACCTGGGTTCGGACCCTGGTTGTCTGCCTGGGGTGGAGGGGACGCCTGGGTTCGGACCCTGGTTGTCTGCCTGGGGTGGAGGGGACGCCTGGGTTCGGACCCTGGTTGTCTGCCTGGGGTGGAGGGGACACCTGGGTTCGGACCCTGGTTGTCTGCCTGGGGTGGAGGGGACACCTGGGTTCGGACCCTGGTTGTCTGCCTGGGGCTGAGTTCCTAGTCCCTTCACAGGAAGCCTTCCACACTGCTCTGCAGCTGAGATGCACCCCACAGGGTGGTGCCTGCAGAGGCGCTCATGCGCGTGGAAGCGCTAGGAAGTGCTGAGCAGAGTTCAGCTGAGCAGAGTTCAGCATTTTATTGAAAACAGTCACACTGTCTGCCTCCCTTGGCTTTGTGTCCCCAAAGCCTACCACAGCTCAACACATTTTTGCTGGGTGACAGCATTCCAGCCCCAGCTCTGTGACCAGCACTTCTCACAGCGTGTCCTCTGAATGTTTTCTAGGAACCCATCGAACGTCTTTTTACGTAAAGCAGTAAGACTTGGTCAGGTTAGAGCTTGTCACTGCCACTAGGGACTCTCCCTCCGCCACGTGGGCCAGCGAGTTCCCAAGTCCTTTGGGCCAGGATTTAGGTTGCATCCCAGTGGGGAGACCCGGGCTTGCTTCAACTTGGAGGTGCCTACCTGGCTGGAGCCGTTCGAAGTCCAGCAGCATCCTGTAGGCTGTGCAGGGGTTGACACTGAGGGTGGCAGCACTCTGGAGTGGGATGTCCTTAGGGATGCCGATCAGCTCTTCCTCACTGAACACGGCCTCAGTCCGCCAGGTTCCTGCGGCAGGATGAGGCAGGACTGTGAGGGAGGAACCTTTGCACACACCACCCAGGCCACCCTCCGTGGTATAAGGGCATCGAGGGTAGAATATTCCGAGTAACACGAAAAGCTGCTGGTGTTCGAGCGGAAGTTACCCGCACAGCGATGTAAAATAATAAAGCCAGTTTAAGTTAGGCTTCGTAAGTCACAGCCCAAAGAGACCTGATAGAGGGTGTGGGAGACACGGGAGACCAGACTCCACTGGGCTCTCCCTCCCTTTGTGTTCAAGTCTGAGCAAATCTCGCTTCCCAAGCTTCAGCTCCTCATACGCTGGTCTGGGTAGATATTGTCTGCCATCCTACTGGGCAAGGCCTTAGGGAATCGGGGGAGGTAAACTAAAAAAAAAAAAAAAGGTCAACCCAAGATTCAAACACTAAATTTCCGTATGTAATCCTCAACTGCTTGTCATTACTTTGTAAAAATGAACAAACAAAGCAGATTGGGGCCTCCAACTGGTTCCAAAACTAAAGGGTAAATAATGATAGTAAGCGCAGTTAGGTGTCTCTTCCTGGCCAAAAGTTAGGGGGAGAAAAAGCTCAATGGTAAACCTGAGGTAGTCAATTCAGTTAGCTATCTGCTCTCTCCAACACCTACTGTTTGGGGCCACACAGACCAGCCTTTCACCGCCCTGAAGTTAAGAGCCAACAGAGACAAGGGCTAGAAAGATGGCTCCGTGGCTGAAAGCACTGGTGTTCTTCAAGATGACCTGGGTTCAATTCCCAGCACACACCGGATGGCTCACAACTCCAGTTCCAGGGGATCAGATGCCCTCTTCTGGCCTCCAAGGGCATTGCATGCTTTTGGCACACAAAATACCCCCACACACTAAATAAAACTTTGAAAATCTTTTAAAAGGCATGGTGTGGTGGCACACACCTTTAATCTCAGCACTTGGGAGCTAGAGGCAGGTGGATTCAATCTGAGGCCAGCTTGGTCTACCCTGTCTCAGAAAAAAAAAAAAAAAGCCAACAGAAACAAAATGTGGGTTAATTATTTCTTCAGCTTGCCCAAGAAAACAGAGCTGTTTTCACGCCCCAAGCTCATGTCATCCTGGGCAGAAAGCACTTCTCCCATGGACCTTAATAAAGGGCTCAGCATACAAAGCCGAGAGGTGCCGATGCTGTTTTCTCTGGTGTGCTGTGCCCATTCTCTTCTACCTCCACTTTATTAAAGCTCGCTTGTCCTTTCCCCTGGTCTCTATTTCATTCTCTGGGGGAGGTGTCCCTAACCTGAGGCCACCTCACCCGTCTTGGGGAACACTACCCTCTTGTGGCTCCCATGAAGATCCATTAGGAAATGGCCGTGCCTTGAAAACGTAAGGACTGAAAAGCAGAACACCCTAATGGCACTTTTCTGTACATAAATGAAATGCCATCCTCAGCTTGGCTCTGCAGGGCCTCCCCCCATGTGGCCCCACTCCCCCTCTGGAGCCGCCTTCTCATTATGTAACCTCTCCCACAGGCAAGTCCTCGGCTGGGGCTACACTGGATTTTCCATTTCCCAAACTCACTCTGATGTCTGCTGAGTTTACTCCTTCCACAGGAAATGCCTTTTGGCTCATCTCTGCTCAACAACTTCTTCCACCCCCAACCTGTTCTAACAACAGACTTTCTTCCACAGTCTTGCTTGAATTTTCCTCACACACATGCGCGCAGAGCAGCCTTCTGCTTCCCGTTGCCTTGGGGTACTCCCTTTATTGAGGTACTGCCTTCTGGGACACTTTAGTCAGATCTGAGCCTTCTGGAAGGCAGGGCCAGCCATATCTGTAATCTACATCACACCCTACAGCACTGACTCAAGGATGTAAGGAGTCAGGTACAGCTCCAACCAACATGGAGCCAAGGAGATGTGCACACAGGTATGTCTCTCCAGAGCACAGCAAACAGGAGTCTGCTCTCTTGGCTCAACTCCATGCTCCTGGAGGCAGGCCTATGAACTTAACGATGAACCCTGCACTGCCTAGTGACACTGAGCCAGTGGGTGTACATCTGCAGAGGAGATGAGTCAGGAGGGTCTGAAGAAAGAGATGGCTGCTTACACCTGGGGACACTCACCTAAACCGGGATTTGCTGGGATCACCCAATCTCCCGGCTTCAGTCCAGATACACTGCTGCCCACTGCCACCACCTGTCCAACGCCTTCGTTCCCTCCAACAGCGGGCAGCTGGGGAAGGAGGCCGTAGTTCCCTGGGAGAGAAGAATCCAGAGGGTAAATGTGGTTTGAACAAAAGCGTCACCCACAGACTCATGTATTTGGACACTTGGTCTTGAGCTGGTGGCATCGCTATGGGGAGGTCTGGTTCTGCTGAGGAAGTACGTCACAGAGGGTGGGATCAGTCTTCAAAGCCATGTGCCAAACCCAGTGCTTGCTTTATGTTTTGGGTTCAAGATGTGAGTCCTCAGCTTCCTGTTCCCGCCCCTGTGCCTGCTGCCTGTGCCCTGCTGTTACAGACTCTAACCCTCCAGAACCGTATGCCCAAACAAACTTGCTTCCGTAAGGTGCCTTGGTTATGGTGTTTTATCATGGTAATACAGTCACGCTGCCAGGTTAGCTGAGACTCTGGAGGGCCTAGACTTTGGGGTCAGTCACATCCGAGCCCACCAGCGCCCTGCACTCACCAGCTGTGCACCTAACCAAGCTCTGGCCTTCTGCTTCCTTGTCCTTACAGGGTGCTAATACTCTCCAGGTACACAGTTATCACAAGGGTAAGCTAAGAAAGAAAGGAACCCCGAATGTCACAGGCTCTTCAGAGGGGTGGGTCTACCACAACGGCAAGCTTCCCAACTCACAGAGCCTCATGCTCAGAGGTTAGCCAGAGAGAGCCGGTACTGTGTGCAGACAGCTCCTCTAAGGGACAGCCACCGCTAATCCTGAGACTAATACCCTACCTGAGGAGCAGTGGAAAGGAGGCAGCTGCTGAGTCAATTAACATAAGCTCCAGAGACCAAGGTTACCTTGGATCATATTTATGTCGGCTGGATTGATAGGGGCTGCCAGCATCCTCACGTGGACGGCAGATCCTTCCACGGCAGTGAGCTCCAGGTTCTTCAGTCTAAGCACAAAGCCACAGGAAAACATTGTCACCAGCCAAGACTAAGTGTCTTCTGTTCAAACTGCCTCCCCAAAGTAGGTTGGCAACACATCTCAATTGCCACGTGTGCCCAGGAATCTGGTTCTGATGGAAGAGAGGTGCTTCGAGGATCAGCACAGAGTGTGGGCTCACATTACCCGCAGTGGATCATTCTTGGTGGCCTCTTAGCGCCACTGCTCAGCTGGGGACAGAAACATTAGTGAGCCTCTGCTGGCCTGGCCTTAGGTTCCCCTGAGCCTGCTTGGTTCTAAGAATCATGCAGCACACTCGCTGTTAATACAGTCACTGCTGATGCGTGAACCAGCATCACGTGGTGAGGGTACCCCAAGTTGTTCTTCCAAACAGGCACATCTGGGAAACTCTGGGTCAGACCTGTCCTCTACCCATGTGTTGTTTTGTTGGCTCCAACACACATAGGCAGAGGTGACATTTCCTTTAGTGCAGAAAGTGAGGTGATGGAGAGAGCATCCCTGTATCTGTGAAGTCTCTGCTGCCGTGACTCACACCCCAGGGAGATGGCCCTTCTGGGCTGGGATCCTAGAAAGGATGCTGGGGTGGAGACTGTGGTGCCAAGCTCTGCCACAAGGTGACTGGGCACCACAAGCAAACTTCTTCTCTGTGCTAGGCTTTGCGATGAAGGTTTGAACTATATATATCTCCCCTCTCACAGCTTTCAAGGTTTTCTGTTCAAGCATGAGGACCTGATTTCAGCTCTCACAGAAAAGGTAGGCACGGTAGCCCTGGAGGCAAAGCAGAGAAGAGCAGATCCTGGGGCTGCTCGCCATCAGTTCGTCTAGTGAAAATGCGAGCGCCAAGTTCAGTGAGGGGCCTCGTCTCAAAGATGGAAGAAACAACCGAGGAAGATGCCCCAATGTCAACCACTGGCTTCTACACATGCCAGCCTGGGTTAGCTCACCCACACACATGGAGAACCCATACATGCCAGAGGGCTTGGAGGGAGCTTTTGTTATAAAGTTTTCTGGATGGGTATGGTGGTATACCCCTATTCCAGCCCTTGGGAGGCTGAGGCAAGAGAATGGTGAGTTCAAGGCCAGCCTGGACTACATAGTGAGACCTTGTCTCAAAAAAATAGAAGTGGTTTTTATTCTAAAATTTTGTTTTGTTTTTTTTCGAGACAGTTTCTCCGTGAAGCCCTGGCTGTCCTGGAACTCGCTCTGTATATCTGCCTACCTCTGCCTCCTGAGTGCTGGGATTAAAGGCATGCACCACTACCACCCGGCCTTATTCTAAAATTTTTAATGTGTATGAGTGTATGCATGTGTAGCACATGTGTGCCTGCCTATGGAGCCAGAAGAGGGCGCTGGTTCCTCTCAAACTAGTTACAGACTTGCAAGTCACCACGTGGGTCTTGGGCAAGAGCAAGCCGCGCTCTTGCCTGCTGAGTCAGATCGCCAGCCCCAAGCTGAATGTTCTTTATTGTTGTCTTCTTAAAACTGTGTGTATGTTTGTCTGCGCACCTCCGCACAGGTGGCTGCAGAAGCCCGAGGTGTTAGATCCCCTGGAGCTCGAGTTACAGACAGGTGTGCGCTGCTGGACGCAAACCTGGGTCCTGTGAGAGTGAGTGCAGTCAGTACTCTTAGCTGCAGAGGCCATGGAGGAGTGCTTCCTGGCTTGCTCGGCTTTCTTTTTTAAATCTTTTTTTTAAAATTTTATAATTTAATTTAATTTTACATATCAGCCATGGATTCCCTTGTTCTCCCCCCTCTCACCCCCCTTCTTTTTAAAATCTTTTTAAAAAAAATATTTATTTATGCCGGGTGGCAGTGGCACATTCCTTTTTTTTTTAAATATTCTTTTTTTTTTTTTTAAAAGATTTATTTATTTATTATGTAAAGTGTTCTGTCTGCATATATCCCTGCAGGCCAGAAGAGGGCACCAGATCTCATTACAGATAGTTGTGAGTCACCATGTGGTTGCTGGGAATTGAACTCTGGACCTTTGGAAGAACAAGCAGTGCTCTTAACCTCTGAGCCATCTCTCCAGCCCTCTTTTTTAAATCTTATTCAAGATTTATTATTATTTTTTAATGTGCATTGGCATCTCTCCTGCCTGTGTGTCTGTGAGAGGATGTCAGATGCCCTGGAACTGGAGTTACAGACAGCTGTGAGCGCCATGTAGGTGCTGGGAACAGAACCCGGGTCCTTTGGAAGAGCAGCCAGTTCTCTTAACCACTGAGTCATCTCTCTAGCCCATCAGCTTGCTTTCTTAGAGCACCCAGAACCACCTGCCCATGGGTAGCACCACCTATAATGTGCTGGGCCCTCCCACATCGATCACTAATTCTGAAAATGTCCTACAGGCCTGACTGTCTATAGCTTGAGCTTCTGGAAGCAATTTCTCAACTGAGGTTATCGCCTCTCAGACGACTATAATTTGTGTCAACTTGACCCATAACTAGCTGACTAGACAGCACTGATCACTGTGTTATACCAGTGAATCCCTGTGACTTTTCAATGACTGCAAATGCCTTTGCTTTCCCGAAACTTAATGCTTCAGGCCTGCAATACTTCTCTGCCCAAACAGATCTACAAAGGCTAATTTTCCTCAGTTTTACTTAGTAGAATCATATATAACTGCCAGTCAGAGGCTCCCAGCATGGTGCCCCAGTTACCCCTCCACACTCACTCACACACACACACACACTCACACACACACACACACACACACACACACACACACACACACACACACACCAAGCTGAGGTAGTACACCCACTTCCTACAGAAATCTTACTTTCTTAATTAGATCCGGCATGATCTTGGGCTAAAAGTATGATTTTTCAAGTAAAGTTTTATACTAATAGTAACAACAGAGGCAGGTTCTCCTGAGCTCTTCTACCAGACTCTGTGCTGAGAGCTTTAAGATGTAACGCTTCTGTGAGGGATGGATAAACAGTCCATGTCTAGTAGGAACACAACTCCTTGAGATTATGAAGTGTAAAGTGACTAGTTCAAGCTGACACTGATGTACACGGCTGTACACCAACACCCAGAACTGAGTTTGGTGATCCTGACAGCCTACAAGAACTTCTGAGAATCTAGGGAACACAAGCAAGCTACAAACCCGTGGACTGTTATGATCCCATAAAGGAAAACCAGGTCTCACCATGATGAAGAATCAGCTGGGGATGGCGGCACATACCTTTAATCCTAGCATTTGGGAGACATAGCCAGGAGGATCTCTGAGTTCAAGGCCAGCCTGGTCTGCAGAGTGAGTTCCATGACAGCCAGGACTGTTACACAGAGAAACCCTGTCTTGAAAACCACAACAAAAAGAATCAGCTAAGAAACTCAACTAATAAACTCTCCAGGGAGACCAGGGATAGGGACAGAAGAAAAGGCTTTGAAAAAGGAAGGTAGGGCCAAGGATGTGTGTGTGTGTGTGTGTGTGTGTGTGTGTGTGTGTGTGTGTACGTAGCTGGAGGAGGGAGGGGTCCTCCCTACAATAACAACTGCTCCTTACTGAGTGTTCACCAGCAGGCTCCCCGCCAAGTGCGTTCGAGGCCGGCTCCCACCCTGTCAATAGCCTGCAGACTACTGTTCGGCCTTTGTAGCCAGGAACAAAGGCACAGGAGAGGTAAATAACTTGCTCAGGGCCGCTGACAGTGGTCGGTGGTTGATCTGATCTGAACGTGGCAGGCAGATGTTAACAGAAGCCACCCGGTAAGCGCTGGACTCCAAGCCAAGCAGCAGGCAGTGAAATGAGCCCTGGCCTGACCTGGCCTGGAGGCTGACTCTGCTGCTCCAGTCTGAGGGGAAGGAAGGGAGGCAGTGCCACGGCCTCCCCTAGACCTCTCAGGGAGGCCATCAGTGGTATTTTTCTGGGACTGTGTATTAGGTCTGCATCCCAAAGAAAAAGCCAGCCCTGAGCAAATCGGTTTTTGGACTAGCTGCCGATTCGTGTTATCTACTGCTTCTCCTGCATTCTGACAGACAGACAATCAGACCTTTCCTGTAAGAAGACAAAGCCCAGGAGCTCCAGCTGCCTAGACACAGCTTTTCTCTTTTTCTGCACACTCCTCCTTCAGCCAAGAATTTCATTTCCACAGCTTCTCTGTGAAATAAAAATTCAACTCAGCCTTCAAGACCCAGCTCAAATTTTACCTCCCCTAAAATGTCTGCTGACCCTCTTCCTGGAACTGGCAGTGGTCACTTTCTTAGCTCTCTGTTCCACAGCAGAGGTGACCACGCCACTTCAGATCATCTTATGGGAGGTTAATGTGTCTTAGCTTATGAAGTCTTCCCATAAGTGGTTTTTAATCCATCAAGACATAGGTTCTGATCTCTTCTGGAGTTCTTGGGTCTGATATCCTCTGGAATTCAGAATCATGAGTTATCTGCACCCCCAGGGGCTGGGCAGCCCCTTGTGGCCAGATGCTCCTGAAGCAAGAGGTGTGGGTATTCACACCAGATGAATAGACAGTGGCAAGCTGGTTTCCCTCCAAACGTTCAGTTTTCAGAGCTTCCTGCAATTATGGAAAGGAGTTTGGGTCTGGATCCTTCAGACCTGAAGCCCAGAACCCTTTTTACTTATCACATGGAGGGAGGGAAGGAGAGAAGAGAAGAGAAGGTGGGGGAGAGAGAGAGAGAGAGAGAGAGAGAGAGAGAGAGAGAGAGAGAGAGAGAGAGGCTTAGTTTCTACCTAGTGATTAACAAGTATCTAGGACCAAACTGTCATCTCCAGTGAGAGAATATGGCATAAAAGTGCCAGTCACCTGGGTTGGAGAGATGGCTCAGCAGTTAAGAGCTGGATGTTCTTCTAGAGGACCCAGGTTCAATTCCCAGCACCCACATGGCAGCTGACAACTGTCTGTAACTCCAGATCCAGGGGGATCTGATAACCTCATGCTAATGCACATAAAATATAATAATTTTTTTTTGAAAGAGTGCCAGCCACTTAGGAAGTCAAGGGAAGGAAAAGTCTGTGATGATTCCCAGACT